ACATAACGCCTACTCCTTTCATTTCCTTAGGGAAGTGCTTGAATCCCTAGACTGAGCTGCAGACATTCCAAAGCCCCCTGTGCTTCCCCTTTTATTCATTTACCATACTTGCAAGTCTTTGATCGCCACCTGTCTTCCCTGCTAGTCTGCCTATACAGTTCAGAGCTTCACAGCTATGGTCCAGGTCACAGCGATGTTTAATCAATGAGCATTTGTTGAACGAATTAGGGTTCTCTCCTAATGGTAGAGGTGGTGGCTGCAGAGCTGGGGGTTGTGGCTCATAAGTACCTGATGCTCCAGCTCCAAGGCCCCAACTCTTGCCCCCACCAGAGCCAACAGCTGTGTGGGAAAACCATTCCAATGAAGATCAGTTGGTCTGAGGACTGCTTCAAGGAGGAATCCCAGGCTGGGCGCGGTGGCTCAAGCCTGTAATCCCAGCACTTTGGGAGGCCGAGGCGGGTGGATCACGAGGTCAAGAGATCGAGACCATCCTGGTCAACATGGTGAAACCCCATCTCTACTAAAAATACAAAAAAATTAGCTGGGCATGGTGGCACGTGCCTGTAATGCCAGCTACTCAGGAGGCTGAGGCAGGAGAATTGCCTGAACCCAGGAGGCGGAGGTTGTGGTGAGCCGAGATCGCGCCATTGCACTCCAGCCTGGGTAACAAGAGCAAAACTCCGTCTCAAAAAAAAAAAAAGAGCCGGGCGCGGTGGCTCAAGCCTGTAATCCCAGCACTTTGGGAGGCCGAGGCGGGTGGATCACGAGGTCGAGAGATCGAGACCATCCTGGTCAACATGGTGAAACCCTGTCTCTACTAAAAATACAAAAAATTAGCTGGGCATGGTGGTGCGTGCCTGTGATCCCAGCTACGCAGGAGGCTGAGGCAGGAGAATTGCCTGAACCCAGGAGGCGGAGGTTGCGGTGAGCCGAGATTGCGCCATGGCACTCCAGCCTGGGTAACAAGAGCGAAACCCCGTCTCAAAAAAATAAAAATAAAAATAAAAGGCCGGGCGCGGTGGCTCAAGCCTGTAATCCCAGCACTTTGGGAGGCGGGTGGATCACAAGGTCGAGAGATCGAGACCATCCTGGTCAACATGGTGAAACCCCGTCTCTACTAAAAATACAAAAAAAATTAGCTGGGCGTGGTGGCGCGTGCCTGTAATCCCAGCTACTCAGGAGGCTGAGGCAGGAGAATTGCCTGAACCCAGGAGGCGGAGGTTGCGGTGAGCCGAGATCGCGCCATTGCACTCCAGCCTGGGTAACAAGAGTGAAACTCCGTCTCAAAAAAATAAATAAAAAAATAAAAAAATAAAAAAAAAAAATAAAAATAAAAATAAAATAAGGGGACCAGGTGCAGTGGCTCATGTCTGTAATCCCAGCACCAGCACTTTGGGAGGCCCAGACTGGTGGATCACCTGAGGTCGGTAGTTCAAGACTAGCCTGGCCAACATGGTGAAACATCATCTGCACTAAAATTAGTACATACAAAAATTAGCCAGGCATGGTGGCAGGCGCCTGTAATCTGAGTTACTCTGGAGGCTGAGGCAGGAGAATTGCTTGAACATGAGAGGCAGAGGTTGCAGTGACCTGAAATTGCCCCACTGTATTCCAGCCTGGGCAACAAGAGGGAAACTCCATTTCAAAACAAACAAACACCAGAAGTTTTCTACATAGTCTTAGGACAAAAGTGCCCACTGAGGAAAGAATCTAAGAATTTAAATGTAAACTTTCCTGGAAAACACCACACACAGAACAATATTTTCTGAACCTATCTCACTAACTTGTAACACCCTGTCAGACTATGCACTTCTTGAGGTGTGGAAAACATCTGATCATGAAAAGTCCACTAAACATTACATTTGGGATTGGCCGAGCGCAGTGGCTCACGCCTGTAATCCAAGCACTTTGGAGGCCAAGGTGGGTGGATCACCTGAGGTCGGGAGTTCAAGACCAGCCTGACCAACATGGTGAAACCCCATCTTTTAAAAACGAAACAAAACAAAACAAAAAAAAACATTACATTTGGGATGTTGGAGGGTACTTGTCAGGGGGTTTCCAAACTATGGCCTAGAGCCGGGGTGTCCAAATCTTTTGGCTTTCCTGGGCCACACTGGAAGAAGAAAAATTGGGCCATACATAAAATACACCAACACTAGTGATAGCTGATGAACAACAACAACAACAAAAAAAAATCACAAAAAAATTTCACGGTTCTTTTTTTTTCCCCTGAGACGTTGTCATGCTCTGTCCCCTAAGCTGGAGTGCAGTGGCACAATCTCAGCTCACTGCAACCTTAATCTTGTAGGCTCAAGGGAGTCTCCTGTCTCAGCCGCCCAAGTGTTAAAATGTGTGCTCTGAATGAAGAGATCCCCCAAACAGGCTTTGTGTGAGCAACATGGCTGTTTATTCACCTGGGTGTAGGTGGGCTGAGGTTGAAAATGGCATCAGCAAAGAGCGATGGGATAGGAGTTGGTTTTATGAGTTTGGAGTGGGCAGTGGAAAGTTACAGTTTAGGGAGTTTTTTTGCAAGCTGGGAGGGGGTCATGGGGTGTTGGAGTCACAAGATTGACCAAGGTCAGTTACAAAGTCCAATTGCCTTATCAATTAGGGCAGGAATAAGGAACAATAGAGAATGTCTCAAACTTAAGTAGACTTCACAAGGGTTGATAATTTCTTTCTCTTTTTTTTTTTTTTTTTGAGACAGAGTTTCACTCTTGTTACCCAGGCTGGAGTGCAATGGCGGGATCTCCGCTCACCGCAACCTCTGCCTCCTGGGTTCAGGCAATTCTCCTGCCTCAGCCTCCTGAGTAGCTGGGATTACAGGCACGCGCCACCATGCCCATCTAATGTTTTGTATTTTTAGTAGAGAGGGCGTTTCACCATGTTGACCAGGATGGTCTCGATCTCTTGACCTTGTGATCCACCTGCCCTGGCCTCCCAAAGTGCTGGGATTACAGGTTTGAGCCACCGCACCCGGCCATTTCTTTCTCTTTTACCAGTCTTTCAGTTACTTTAGATTTTCAGGAACTTATCTGGAGTGTCCCTGCAGGTCACAGAGGTTAAAGTGGTGTCCACAGCACCTTCAGTCAGCCTAAAAGACCTTACACTAAGTAGCTGGGATTACAAGCATGCACTGTCACCCCTGGCTAATTTTTAATTTTTTAATTTTTTAATTTTTTTATTTTTATTTTTTGAGACAGAGTTTCGCTCTTGTTACCCAGGCTGGAGTGCAATGGCGCGATCTCGGCTCACCGCAACCTCCGCCTCCTGGGTTCAGGCAATTCTCCTGCCTCAGCCTCCTGAGTAGCTGGGATTACAGGCACGTGCCACCACGCCCAGCTAATTTTTTGTATTTTTAGTAGAGACGGGGTTTCACCATGTTGACCAGGATGGTCTCGATCTCTCGACCTCATGATCCACCCGCCTCGGCCTCCCAAAGTGCTGGGATTACAGGCTTGAGCCACTGCGCCCGGCCTAATTTTTTATTTTTAGTAGAGATAAGGTTTCTCCAATGTTGGTCAGGCTGGTCTTGAATTCCTGACCTTAGGTGATCCATCTGCCTTGGCCTCCCAAAGTGCTGGGATTACAGGAGTGAGTCATCAGGCCTGGCCAATCTCATCACCTTTTAGGACCCTTCATAAATTTATTTTTGGCCACATTCAAAGTTCTTCTGGGCCACCTTTGGCCTGTGGGCTGTGGGTTGGACAAGCCTAAGAGTGTGGTGGCTAGGAATGTGGACCCTGAAGTCAGATAGCTTGGGTTCCTATCTTTGCTCTGCCACTGACTAGGTATGTGACCTTGGGCAAGTGACTCAACCTCTCTAAGCCCCAGTTTTATGATCTGTAAGAAAGGTAAATAGTAACTTGTTTCTTACTTCACTGGGTCTTGAGGTATGGATGAAACAAAGTTTGTGAAATTGTACTTTTTTTTTTTTTTTTTTGAGACGGAGTTTTGCTCTTGTTACCCAGGCTGGAGTGCAACGGCGCGATCTCGGCTCACTGCAACCTCCTCCTCCTGGGCTCAGGCAATTCTCTTGCCTCAGCTTCCTGAGTAGCTGGGATTACAGGTACGCGCCACCACGCCCAGCTAGTTTTTTGTATTTTTAGTAGAGACGGGGTTTCACCATGTTGACCAGGATGGTCTCGATCTCTCCACCTCCTGATCCACCCGCCTCGGCCTCCCAAAGTGCTGGGATTACAGGCTTGAGCCACCGCGCCTGGCCGAAATTGTACTTTTTTAAAAAGATTGATTGATTTAGAAAAACAAAAACACATGCACATATATGAATTTCAGGATCCCATAGTGAGTCCCTGGCTTCCTAGGAGTCCACACTAATACTTGCTCAATATATTCATAAAGAGGAAAAACAGGCCGGGCGTGGTGGCTCACGCCTATAATCCTAGCATTTTGGGAGATAGAGGTGGGTGGATCACCTGAGGTCAAGAGTTCAAGACCAGCCTGGCCATCACGGTGAAACCCCATCTTTTTTTTTTTTTTTTTTTTTGAGACGGAGTTTCGCTCTTGTTACCCAGGCTGGAGTGCAATGGCGCAATCTCAGCTCACCGCAACCTCCGCCTCCTGGGTTCAGGCAATTCTCCTGCCTCAGCCTCCTGAGTAGCTGGGATTACAGGCACGTGCCACCATGCCCAGCTAATTTTTTGCACTTTTAGTAGAGACGGGGTTTCACCATGTTGACCAGGATGGTCTCGATCTCTCGACCTCGTGATCCACCCGCCTCGGCCTCCCAAAGTGCTGGGATTACAGGCTTGAGCCACCGCGCCCGGCTTTTTTTTTTTAAGATGGGGTTTCACCATGATGGCAGGCTGGTCTTGAACTCCTAACCTCAGGTGATCCACCCACCTCTGCCTCCCAAAGTGCTAGGATTACAGGTGTGAGCCACTGCGCCTGGCCTGTTTGCCTAATATTAACAATTATAAACAGAGTGGTGCAACTAGTATTTGGAACAATCCTTACAGTGTTGCAGTGTCAGGCACATTTCACTTCTCTTCACCCCACTGGTTCTCTTTGTGTACCTGGGCTTCCTTCTCTTCAGTAAAGTCATTTTTGATATTGAAGGTCTTGCGAATCTCCTCAGGAGTTTTCCCCTTGATCATATTGGCAACAGTCTTGCATGGAACATCAAGCAAACCTTTGATGTCTAAGTAGTTTGCAGCCAGAATGAGTTCAAAAAGCGTTCCTTGGTCAACTTTCAGGAATTCTTGGTCCCAAACAGGAATGCCATCTGTTCGCTTTTCTTTGTTCTCATCATCCTCAGGAGGAGGAGGATCATCCTTGTGGTGGGTGCACCACTGGATGACCTTTTTTAATATTGCCGCATTGACATTTGGTAGAGGAACTGGGTTATCATCTCCTTCATCATCCATTCCCATGGTGTTGATAGTAACAGATTGTTTGGCAATTTCCATATCAACTTCAAACATCTCTCCATCAGAACTCTGCAAGTTAATTGAAGGCATGGTGTTTGGTGTTAAGGAGATGCTGGCCAGAGGCTGAGGAGAGCTGCGAGGCATCAGTGAAGGAATAGAAAGTCGGAGGATGAAGCCGCTACCTCATTCATTCATTTATTCAAGACAGAGTCTCCCACTCCGTCAGTCCTTAGGCATGCTGCCCAGCACTCCTGCAGTTCCTGCTCACTGACCATGCCCGCGCGCGTGCTCATGTCCACCTATGTGAAAATGCTGGCAGCCAGCCTCCTGGCCATGTGCGTGGGGGCGGAAGTGGTGCACAGGTACTACCGACCAGACCTGACAATACCTGAAATTCCACCAAAGCTTGGAGAACTCAAAACAGCTTTTGGGACTGAAAGAAAGAAAACACAAACCTCAAGTTTCTCAACAGGAGGAACTTAAATAAGTATGCCAAGAATTATGCAAAAAATATTATAAGTCTTAAGCTGGGCGCGGTGGCTCATGCCTGTAATACCAGAACTTTGGGAGGCCGAGACGGCTGAATCACGAGGTCAAGAGACCGAGGCCATCCTGGTCAACATGGTGAAACCCCGTCTCTACTGAAAATACAAAAAACTAGCTGGGCATGGTGGCGCATGCCTGTAGTCCCAGCTACTCAGGAGGCTGAGGCAGGAGAATTGCCTGAACCCAGGAGGCAGAAGTTGCAGTGAGCCGAGATCGCGCCATTGCACTCCAGCCTGGGTAACAAGAGCAAAACTCTGTCTCAAAAAAAAAAAAAAAGAAGAGTCTTTCTCTGTCATTCAGGCTGGAGTGCATTGCGACAATCATAGCTCACTGCAGCCTCAACCTCTGGGGCTCAAGTGGTCCTCTTGCCTCAGCCTCCCAAGTAGCTGGGATTTATAGGCATGAGCCTGAGCCCAGTCAGGTTTTTTTTTGTTTTTGTTTTCCTTTCGAGAAAATATTAACAGTACAGGTTTTTTTCTTTTCTTTTTTTTTTTTTTTTTTTTTTTTTGAGACGGAGTTTCGCTCTTGTTACCCAGGCTGGAGTGCAATGGCGCGATCTCGGCTCACCGCAACCTCCGCCTCCTGGGTTCAAGCAATTCTCCTGCCTCAGCCTCCTGAGTAGCTGGGATGACAGGCATGTGCCACCATGCCCAGCTAATTTTTTGTATTTTTAGTAGAGACGGGGTTTCACAATGTTCATCAGGATGGTCTCGATCTCTCAACCTCGTGATCCACCCGCCTCGGCCTCCCAAAGTGCTGGGATTACAGGCTTGAGCAACCGCGCTCGGCCCTGTTTCTAAATACAGTGTGTTGCTGAGTTATAAGGTGATTCAGTGAATCCTTTGTGAATGTGTCTAGTAGTTTGCCTGGGCTTGATTTCCAATTATGTCTTTTGAGAAATATTCAAAGGTGTATCAAGTGATCTACAGTATCCCTTCCAGTTTGTAAATATCCTGTGAGTCTTTCAGCTTCTTAGTTGGGATAGAAGCCCCCCAGGATTCTGACAGATGGTTGAAGGACTCTGATCTCTAGGCCGTTGTGCAAATCTTCCAGGTAGTTAGCTCAGGCTCCAAGAAAAGTCAAATCCTAGAAGTGGTGTTGTAGCTCCAGAACAGGAGTGGGCGCAAAGGTCTCCTGAAGCAGTCTTAGTTTAAAGTAGCAAACCACTTTCCTGGCAAATACAGGCTGAAGTTTGATTCCACAACCTAAAGCAAAAAAAAAAAAAAAAAGACAGGCTGAAGAAGTAGGGAACGGTAATTCAGCTTTATCTTATCTTTATTTTTGGAGATCTGTGTTTGAGACCAGAACTAGTTTTATAATTATCGAGTTGACCTTAGATAGCTGACCTGTATGGTATCACCTTCTGTCTCTTAAAAAAAAAAAAAGTGCCGGGCGCGGTGGCTCAAGCCTGTAATCCCAGCACTTTGGGAGGCCGAGGCGGGTGGATCACGAGGTCAAGAGATCGAGACCATCCTGGTCAACATGGTGAAACCCCGTCTCTACTAATGGTGCAAAAAAAATTAGCTGAGCATGGTGGCGCGTGCCTGTAATCCCAGCTACTCAGGAGGCTGAGGCAGGAGAATTGCCTGAACCCAGGAGGCGGAGGTTGCGGTCAGCCGAGATCGCGCCATTGCACTCCAGCCTGGGTAACAAGAGCGAAACTCTGTCTCAAAAAAAAAAAAAAAAAAAAAAAAAAATTTTAGGGTGTGGTGTCGTGGTTCACACTTGTAGTCTTAGCATTTTGGGAGGCCTAGGTGTGGGAATCACTTGGGGCCAGGAGTTGGAGACCAGATGAGATCCCATCTCTACAAAAGAAGTTTTTAATTCATTAAAAACATTATTTAAAATTATGTAAATAAAACATAAATACATCCTCTTTGTAAAAAGTTCAAATAGTGGCTGGGTGTGGTGGCCCCCTATAATCCCAGTACTTTGGCAGGTAGGCCAAGGCGGGTACATCACTTGAGGTTAGGAGTTCGAGACCAGCCTGGCCAACATAGTGAAACCTGATCTCTATTAAAAATGCAAAAATAAGCTGGGCATGGTGGCAGGTGCCTGTAATCCCAGCTACTTGGAAAGCTGAAGCAGGAGAATCATTTGAACTCTGGAGGCAGAGGTTGTAGTGAGCCAAGATGGCACCATTGCACTCCAGCCTGGGCAACCAGAGCAAAACTCCATTTCAAAAAGAAAATAAAAGAAGTATTTTTAGGATATTATGCTCAGTTAAATAGGCCAGTCACAAAAGGACAAATACTGCATGATTCCACATATGAGGTATCTAAGGTAACCAAACTCAGAAACATAAAGAAGAATGGTGATTGCCAAGGACTAGGGGGAGGTGGAAATGGAAGGTGCTAACAGATATAGTTTCAGTATTGCAAGATGAAAAAATTCTAGAGATTTGTTGTACAACAATATGTATAAGTTAACACTACTCTATTCTACACTTAAAAATGGTTGGACTGGGCACAGTGCCTCACACCTGTAATCTCAGCATTTTGGGAGGCTGAGGTGGGTGGATCTCAAGGTCAGGAGTTTGAGACATGGCCATTATGGTGAAAACCCGTCTCTACTAAAAATTGAAAAATTAGCCAGGCATAGTGATGCTCCCCTGTAGTCCCAGCTACTCCGGAGGATGAGGCAGAAGAATTGCTTGAACCGGGGAGGTAGAGATTGCCATGAGATGAGACCGTGCCACTGCACTGTAGCCTGGGCAACAGAGCGAGATTCAATTTCAAAAAAAAAACGCTGGGCGAGGTGGCTCAAGCCTGTAATCCCAGCACTTTGAGAGGCCGAGGCGGGTTCATCACGAGGTCAAGAGATCGAGACCATCCTGGTCAACATGGTGAAACCCTATCTCTACTAAAAATACAAAAAATTAGCTGGGCATGGTGGCGCGTGCCTGTAATCCCAGCTACTCCGGAGGCTGAGGCAGGAGAATTGCCTGAACCCAGGAGGCGGGAGTTGCGGTGAGCCGAGATCGCGCCATTGCACTCCAGCCTGGGTAACAAGAGCAAAACTCCGTCTCAAAAAAAAAAAAAAAAAAAAAAAAAAAAAAAAGATTCAGATGGTAAATTTCATGTTTTTTACCATATTTTTTTTTTTCAGTATTTTTATTTGGCACAAGAGGTAATATGAGGCTAACCAGTAAACACTTCCTCCCAGTCCTTTCTCTTTTGGGTACAGGTGAATATAAAATCTTACCAACTATCATAGTTAACAAACAAACCATAGCAAAATATGTCTCTATGCTTTTTCTCTTGAGAGCAAAGGACATGGGTATCCTTTCTTAGACGTCTCCTAGGACTTAAGCCGGAAAGAACGCTTGTGTTTCCTTCAATAGGCAGAACTTAAAAGAGAAAATTCCCCTGACGAAAGCGAAGCAAGCAAGGACCAGGTGGCCATCTGGGTGACTACAACCCCCAGCATGCACTGCTCCTTCTAGGGCGCAGCCAGTGACGGAAGAAGTCGCATTACTTCTGCGATGAGAAGAGGGTCGGGGAGCGCGACTACACATCCCAGGATGCAAGGCGCCCCAATTCTAGTCACAATCTGACTTGCTTTCTGGCTGGCGTTCCCCGCCAAAGGGACACTAAGGGGAGCGGAATGTTTCGGTCGGGACTCCCCTAAGTCTACTGAACCGTGACATTTCGAAAGAGGAAGGAAAGTGGAGGAAGGCTGTTTCACTGTAACTCAAAGTAGTTCCTGCACAAGGTGGCGAGGAGTTATGGGCCCCTTCCATAATTTATTGTTCCTCAAAGGCAATGCCAAGCCCCACTGGTCGCAGCTCTAGAGGGCAGGTGGGAAGCCCAAATCGAAGTTACCAGCGTCTATTGGCCCTCGCCTCGAGCGCAGGCGCGAGGGCTCCAACGCCGGTCCCCTGGGCCTGGTGAGCGGCAATTGGCCACAGTCCGCGAAGTAGAAGTCTGGATTGGTAGTTGCTAGCAGGAGCCTGGTTTCTTCCTCTACTTCTGCGAGTGATAGAGTGTGATTGGTTTAAATCCGCGGGTACCTGTCGGTGATTGGGCGGGAGCCACAGGCGGGGCGCGGCCATTGGCTGGCGCTGGGACCATCCCTCCTCGGGCGGGCAGCGAATGATGAAATGGGAACGGGGAGGGGAAAGGCCGCGACGTGAGCGCGCGACCTCCGGCGCCATTTTGTCGAGAAACAAGCGGAGTTAACCGAAGAGGGGGTCGAGGAGAGCTGGAGTCGAGGACCCAGGAGTTTCCTGTGTCCAGCGCTGCCGGAGCCGCCTGAGGTGAGGCGGGCTGGCGTCAGGGGCTGGGGTACGGTGGCGGTGTTAGCTTGGAGACGCCAGTGCCAGTGGGAGGAGGAACAGGGGTGGACCTGGGGCCATTGGAAGCGTATCCCGGAGCTCCGGGGAGTGAGAGGCAGCCGGGACGGGCAAGTGGGGCGAGGCGGGAGAGGGCGGACTCTCTCCCCACGGCTCTCGGAGGCTTCGAGCTCTGAAGATGAGGCCAGCGAGAAGGCTCTAGGAAGCCGAGGGCAGAGCGCGGGATGAGACCCGGGGTGGCCTCTGTCCC